AGCTTAGAAGGAGAAAACTATGGAACGCCCTAGGCCTGACTTCTGAGTAAACATGCAGAGGATGGTGCTGCAAGTCTTTGTGCAACCCATTGAAGAACAGCAGTGCAATCTGCAGTGATGCACAGGTGCCCTGCCCCCCACTTGCTTCTGCTGGCTCCAGGGTCTTCTTCCTGCCCTCCTCCCATTTTTCTCTTCTGGCTGGCTGGGAGGCCTGCAGAAGCCTCCACGAGATGGGCCAGCCCCAGTCCTGGAAGCAGGGAGAGTGGGCAGGCAGAGGGTTTGCTGCACTGCTGAATATCCTCCTCAGAGACCCTGATCCAGCCTGAGCGGAATGCCGGCCCTCCTGGTCTTGCAGGACTGCCAGGCCTCCCGCTCCCATTGGCACCGTCTGACTCCTGCCTGCGGTCTCTGCAGTGCCTCCTCTCTGAGCCTGCCCAGGACTCATGCTTCCTTGCTGGGGGCTGCAGAGGCCTGTCTGGAGACTTGCAGGGAGGAAACTGTTGGTAACTCTATGATAACCTCCTGAAGTTTGAGGTATGAGACAGCACACAGATCTTAATTTTTACAACAACAGAAACTAGCCTGACACAAAAAAGCAAGCAGTTCTCTGATCTTGGCTGCTGCTCCGAACAAGCAGGGGCTGTGTTTTTGGACCTTCAGCCTCTTGGAGAGGAAAGAGACCAAAGCAGACCCAAAATGCAGAGCTTGGCCAGGGTCACTCCCTGCAGGATCAATGGGAGCTCTGCAAAGGGTGGGCGGCAGGCCTTTGTCTCTGCTCAGGGCCCCAGGAGCTCTTTCACGGAGCTCTTGGCCTGATCCCATTGCTGTTTTCCTTGCTCAGGTACAGCAGGATGCAAGGCAGGCCAACCGGAGAACAGTCAGTAACTTCTGCTTGCAAAGGAACAGGGGGTGGGGGTGGCTATACCTCCCTTTCCTCCACAGTTCTCTGCAAAAGACGGTCAAGATAACTTAATTCCAATAGCAGTGGCGGAAAACAGCTCTTTTGCTTCCCACATAGACTCTTCAGGAAGGTTTTAATTCAAAGCAAAAACCTCCATCCAGGGACAGACTGGCTCTTTAACTCCCTGGGAAAAGTCCTGTTGGGCTACTGCCCTGGAGGACCTCTGGCAGCCAGTAGTGAGTGGAGAGAGAAGAGACTGGATTTATACCCCCCGCCCGTCACTACCAAAAGGTGTCTCAGAGCGGCTTCCAATCTCCTTTCCCTTCCCCTGCCCACAACAGACACCCTGTGACTGGTGGGGCTGAGAGAGCTCTTTTGAGGACTGCTCCTGAGAGAACAGCTCTGAAAGAACTTGTCACTGACCCAAGGTCACACCAGCAGCTGCATGTGGAGGAGTGGGGAATCAAACCCGGTTTTCCCAGCTTAGAGTCCATGGTGCGCTCTTAACCACTACACCAAGCTGGCTCCCTGAAGCCCAGGCCATGCTGCAGGGGGCTGCGCGACTCAGACCCCAGCCTGGCCATGATGCCCAGGGGAACTTAGCAAGGCTCTCTCTTTTAGCATCCCAGTCCACCCTGCCTGTAGCTGGGTTGCTCGCCGTACTGGGACATTCAGGGCCATGCTGCAGGGGGCTGCGCGACTCAGACCCCAGCCTGGCCATGATGCCCAGGGGAACTTAGCAAGGCTCTCTCTTTTAGCATCCCAGTCCACCCTGCCTGTAGCTGGGTTGCTTGCCGTACCGGGACATTCAGCATCCTGCAGCCTAGTGGCAACTGAGCCGGCCAAGTAAGATGTGGGAACCCTCTGATGAAATGTAAAATAGACAGCTCTATTGTTACTGGGCTGGAGAGTGAGAAGACACAGCTGCCCAAGTGGAACCGAATGTCACCTGTGGAGCAGAGACCTCACACTTGCGAGATGTTACAGAAATGAGGTAACTTCACACCACAGAACTTCAAGGAGCAGGAATCAGCCAGAAATACCACGTGCCATCAGGAGGTCCACCAGTGGGGCCAGGACATTAGAAGCCCTCCCACTGTTGGCCCCCCTAAGCTCCAAGAAGACAGAGCATCCCTTGCCCCAGAGCCCCTATCTATACCTTGTGGCTAATAGCCACTGATGGACCTCTGCTCCATATGCTTATCTAATTCCCTTTTGAAGCCGCCCATGCTTGTAGCCGCCACCACCTCCTGTGGCAGTGAATAAAGTGTTGGCCTTGTGACTGCTTCGGTCCAGGTACAAAAAACCAGGCCTGCTGCTGGGTAAGCAGGCGGTTAACAATAAAGAGGACCATAGCTGAATAATACAGAAATAATGAGAAGAACCAACTACAAAAAAGTACCAACAAATCTAAATAAACTTTTATACAAAAAATTATAATTTTCTAGTATTTTATAATTTTGTCTCAGTCTTTTGTTACAGTACTTCAAAAGTTGTATCAAAGTCTTATTGGAATCAAAGTCCTATTAATGTTTTGTATACAATAGTAATATTGCCACAACATAAGCCACAATGTACAGTCACTATTATAGTGTCAACAACTGGAACAAATTCCTACACCATCATAAATTGTGGTTACAAGATAATACAATATAATTAGTCCACAAACGACTCTCAGCAAGGTAATAATTCAAGGACAGAAACCATGAAGAAGTCCACAAGCTTCCAGTTGTGCAATGCAATCATATATCTCCGGTATACAAGTACAAATATGTTCCTGCGGTGTTCAAAGATGGGATTTTCCAGAATGTTTCTCCCCTTTTGGGACCTTCCTCAGTCAAGAGGGAACTGAAGATTACATGCTTTCTTAGAGTTGCCAACTCCTATGAATAACAGTCCTATAGAAACGCCGTTCAAATGGTACAAACTGAAACTCTCCACAAGCTGGCATGTTGGCCGAACTATTATCAGGGATCACATCCATATCTCCCCCTTCCCCTAAGGTGCTCAAAAGGCTTTCATGATAGCAGTCCTATTTTATCATCACAACAACCTTGTGAGGTTGGTTAGGCTGAGATGGAAGATCCACTAGCCAGCCTCACGGCTCCAGACTCCCTACTGCACCGCCATGCAGGCTCTTGCCAGGCCTGCTATGTTGAGAGTGGGGTAAAGCCACATCAAATGGACCGTGTGGATCATCCTCCAAGCCCATGGCCCGAATTGCCACCTTTGTTTGTCTCTGTCCACTGACTTGGCATTTGCTTGCCTTCTGTGAGGACAGAACAGGGAGTTTGTGTTACAGAGTAAAAGTCTGCGTAATGGTTGTGGTTTGTTAATGCTTCATGACGCAAGCCGGCTTAGGCAGAAACTGCCAAGGCAATACCTGCATTTTTCAAGATGACCGACTAAAAGCTCAATTGCAGGCTCCTGTGCAGTCTCTGCAGCAACTGTGTGTGAGCTGAGAAAGAAGAATATCTTCTCTGGGCTGCAAACAAGTCAGGTGGCCTCCTCTTAATTCATCCCCTGCTCCTGGCTTCCGTCCACCAACCTGTGAAGAAATTCCTTTCCTGCCCCATCATTATTTACAGCTG